CCACTTTCTCCACCCCCTCCCCTCCCCCTGCCGCTTGCATTGTTTCCATTTCGCGGTAATCGTGATTCATGCGTGCAGATATTTCGACGAGCAAATCCGATCATGCTCTCTCGCCCCGTGGAAAACGGACACGTCTATGTTCAACTCGCTCCTCCTTTTTTTTCTCCTTTCTTTTTTTCATTTTTTTTATTTTTTTATCCACCCCCTGATATCTCTCTTCCTTTCCACGATTTCCGTGACGGAGGTTTCCTGGAGGGGGTGGAGGGATCTTCTTTGCCCAGGAAACGGGGCGCCAGTGGATGGTAATTAAGGACGGTTACCTCGAGGAGGTAGGGTTAACGAGCATCTGGCTTGGTGGATGGGCTTCGACGGATTCTGTACGGGCCAAGGTAAACTCTGAACGGTTAATTTTGTTCTCCAAAGGAGGGGTGTGTATGTGTGTGTGTGAACTCGATCGGAGAAGTCGAATTGTGGAGTAAGGTTTCGTTGGAAGGTTGATCGAATGGTCTTATGGGGTTGTAGGGGTGGAGATTGAGATATCGGTTGGTGGTATTGTCGCTGAGGAAAGCTCGCTTTTGAAATGCTTTGTGGGATATGATGTATGAAGCGATGGTGATCGTGCGGAGTGTTTTGTGACAATGGGGGAAATTTATTGGTTGTGGAAAATTGGTAGTAGAATTTGGTATATTTCGAGCGAAATTGTGATCATTGGGAAAAATATCGTGTTATTATTGGGCATGAGTATGGAGGAAATATTGTTATTGGGTACGAATATGAATACGAATATTGTATTGGGAGTAATTAATTATCAGTAAGTGTTTATTAACGTAGAAATTGTATTGATATTGGAAATAATAAGTGATAGTTTATGAGATGTAGAAAATATTTATTTATAATATATACGGTTGTACGAGTTATGAAATGATATAGTGATTTTTTTTATCGAAGCTAATTATTTGAAAATGTATGATGCTTATTTTTAGAGAACATTAAGTTTTATTATTGGCTAGAAAAGATAAAAAAAATAACAATGTATTTAAAATATGTGTGTATATATATATATATATATATATATATATATATATATATAT